CTTTTGCACATGAGCTGATTCGACCTTTATCAATCTTTATCTCATGGGCTGACGTATACTACATACGGAGTACTTGTATTATTTTATTTTGGGCCTTCGTAAATTATGGGCTCTGTGCGAGTGGGCCGCCTACCCCTGCCCAGGGCCGGTCCTGTTGTAGATATCATTTTATACGGAGTACATGTTTTGTCTGTGAATAGATTATTCACAGATAAAAAAATAACTGTCCATGGACATGCGTAAAATGGTGTGTACGACAGTGTGTACGTGAATAATTTTTTATCCAATTATAGTTTTACTCATTAATTTAGGAGGAAAGTGTCAATTGAGTACACCAACTTGTATAAGGTGGAGTAAAGAGTACATTATATTGCATTTGATCTTTTTAGGTACACAAATTTGGGATTTTAGTGTTAATTGAGTACACTTGTTAGATTAACACATTAACACAGCTCAGTTGGCTAACGGAATGCTAATAGGTCGACTTCTTGAAGGTCGACACCATCCCCCAACCACTCAATCTAACGGGTGTACTCAATTAACACTAAAACCCGAATTTGTGTACTTAAAAAGATCAAATGCAATATAGTGTACTCTTTACTCCACCTCATATAAGTTGATGTACTCAATTGACCCTTACCTCATTAATTTAGAGAACACTGTGGGGGAAACCTCACAATTAAGAAGGGTAAGAAACTTGGAAACAATTCAAACTTAATGAATTTTGGTTTTTACATACATCCAAACTCATTTTATTTATAAAGACAACATAAACCCAAATATATTACTCACACCTTTATTTACTTGTATGTGATACATTCTTTTCAAGAAGCTATTGTTATTATTTATTACATTTTCATAATTTGAATAGCTAGCTGCAATTTTTTGAAACAAACAAATAGCCACAAATAAGAAAATATAAAGAGTGAAAAAGAATATGAAAATTAATCCATTTCATTTTCCTTTGCATTTTCTACAGAAATATCACACTCCAAAAATAAAATATTTCAAGTCGCACGTGATGTTTTCCCTAGAATTTTGTTTCAAACGATTAAATTTTCAAAAACTAGAGTTATCACTAAAATAAAATGTAAGCCCATAGTCATGTTAGAGCAACTCCAATGCAAGTGTGCATTGGAGTTCCATGTCAGCAAATGCACACTTTGTTGTAAAATGTACTCTCCAATGTGAATGCCAATGGACCTTCAAAATCTGAGTTAGCATGAGAGAAGGTCCAGCACAAGGTCTACAAATAGACCTTCGATGCCACCTTCTGACATTCCAGCTAAGCAAGGAACCCAAGTACTCCCTCCGTTTCTATTTGGTTGACACACTTTCCTTTTTTGGACGTTTCAAAATGAATACCACACTTCTTTATTTCCTTATTTGGTAAACAAATCTATACCTAAACATTGCAAAACAGTGTCAAACAGTATTCAAACAGTGTTCAAACAGTGTTCAAACAGTGTTCAAACAGTGCCAAACAGTGTACTCTACAGTAAAATTTACCCCTCAATAACTTTTTTCCCTTAAATCTTGACAAGTCAAACTGTGTCAACCAAATAGAAACGGAGGGAGTATGTAGCTTTCCCTTCTTCTTTTATTAACTAGTTACGTAACGCGCGTTGCGCGTTCGTGATAATGCCCAAGACCATTGTAGTCCAGGGATACTAATGCCCATGGATACTAATATATCCCTCTGCGGTTTAAATTGAGTTAATATATGAGGGGAAAAGGGTCAAATAGACCTTCGAAATTACATAAAAATGTCAAATAAGCCCTTCTATAGGAGGCTCTGTCCGGACGTCGCCATTTGGGGCAGTTCTCGGTGGAATTTGTTGATGAAATTTTTTGAGCATCTTATTAATTAAGTCTAGTTTACTCATAACAAATTTCAGCTAACAATTCAATCGGGAAGGCATTCAAATAATTCTTGAAGATAACTGCGTAATTATCTTCAAGAATTCATTTGAATGCCTTCCCAATTGAAGTTTTAGCTAAATTTTGGTATGAGTAAACCAGACTTAATGAATAAGATGATAAAAAATTTAATAAAAAAATTCCACCAGGAACCGCCCCAAATGGTGACTACTGGGCAGAGCCTTCTATATAAGGGCTTATTTGACCTTTTTAGGTAAGTTCGAGGGCCTATTTGACCCTTTTCCCATATATGAGTAATATGAATACAATATTTGAATACATACTTTGTTACTTATTGATAAGGAATCCTAATCAATAAAGTATTTATATGCTAGATTATATGTGAGAAAAAGGAAAGGGAAAAAACAAAGGGTTTGCAATGAGTAAAATTTGTTAAAGATAATACATATGCACATCACTAACACAATAAATTCAATTTGTTGTTGTCGATGCAACATCACAAGACAATCGAAATGTTTTATATGTCAAGGTTATCACCTATTAAGTCAAAATCAAAATGTATGTCATTGATGGGGCAAAAATCTCTAATGGTTCTTCATGTGATTTCAAAAGCCGGCTTGTTCCCACTCGTAACCTTCAGCTTGCTTGACTATCCTCACTCCAAACTTTATTAGGGCTTCCTGGCAAAGACCATATGCATTATGGCCTTTTACATTTTATATCAGAATTGTGTACATTTATGGAGGAAAAAACTAATTGTATATGCTGTTATTCTCTCACACTCTGTACCAAATGTGACACTTATGCACAATGCTATTTTCAAACAAAAGTTTAATACGTCTACAAATTACAATTCGATATATTGTACTCCCTCCGTCCCATAGAGAGGTTCCCGATTCGGTTTACGATTCTTGACTGATGATAAAATTTACATATTCAGAAAGTACATTACAACTGCTAAAACCGTAAACATAGAGCTCCTTTCTTTCTTAGCTCAAAACATATATGATAGTCATTACTTTGTATTAAAACTTGCTCACTTTCTTGTGAGAATTTTGAGATTTATACCGCAAGCAGAATAATAGGCATGAGTACTTTGAAGGCTTGAAAACAGAAACAAGTGATCAACTATTATCCCTATTGGGTTCAAATGTAAGTTCCCTGATACACAATGAGACTACAATCTAGCCTGACATTAGTGTACCCGATAACAAATTGAAAAAAAAAACTCTGAGTAGTTGATCCTTCCATAAAAGTCTATCTGATATGGAATTTTCCTTCCCAGAATTCTGCGTTTTATAACTTTTAACTGTTAGTAAGTTTCTATTAAAGGTTTATTTCCCTAAATTTGAAAGTAATATTTCATTTAAAAGATAGCAAAATGCAACCTGGAATTTGAAAGTAGTCTATTTGATATTGAATTTCAGTTTCCAAAGTAGTAACAGCAATTATTTAAGAGATTTAGGTGTCAGTAGTGTTAGAGGAAAAAGTTGTTAACAAATTATTATTCCGTTGTTAACAAATTATTATTCCGTATCATACATGGCTGTAAATTTCAGTTTCTAAATTTCCATAACTTTAAATCTTTAATCATATAACACTTTATATAAGCATGGACTACTGGTTAACAGATAGTTTGCGGCCAAATACTCAGTCAGTAAATAAACAAATGTGAATAAGCACAAGACAGACATAGAGGCCTAAAAAGCTTACCAGAAGAAGATTGCTGAGCAAGAAGATGGAAAAAGATGAATATGGCCTAAAATCCTTTGCTAGTTTGCAAAAAGATGAATATATATTAATAAGGGGAATACCGGACGATTGAAGGTGAGAGGGTCTCGTGGAATTCCATAACTCGGGTAGCCTCTGAGATGGAAACAACTTAGGATGATGATTTGATATCAGGTGTATATGAAATGAAATTACCTTCTTAAATGCAATCATCACTATTACAAAAACAAAGGAAAATACGAACTTACATGAGAAGAAGAAAGAAGTAAACTGATTTGTCCTTCAGTGAGGCTTTACTAACGGGAGCTCTTTATCTCCAATTCCTTTCCTCTGAACCCTGAGCGTACTTCCATCAGCTTAAGGGAGTACACCTTTAGCCGAGCCCAAGTGGGGCGATCGAGAAGAAAAGAGAAACTATCGATTGCTAAAACGGAAAGGAATATGGTGGGTCGTATCAGATTGGAGCCGTCTGGGGTATGCTAAGGGGCGGAATGGATTAACATTTAACAATAAGTTAGACAACCAATGGAAAACGGATGTAAATGTCGAATTCGAGGTCCGGAAAGCTGCTCGCCATTACCAGGGAGTGCCAAAAATGTTGAGGCGCCTGAATGAAAAAGAGGAGATAAAGGATACGGAACGGAAATAAGCGGAAGGAAGGCTATAGTTCACGGAACGGGAACATGGAAAGCTACTTTGCCGTTTAAACACAGGCTATAATAAGTTTAAAAGTACAAAAATCCATACATGATGTTAGATGTACAACAACTTTATGCAGCAAGAGACACCAACACATTTTTTATGACCATTATACCCTTAAAAATATTCACTCTTATAAGATTGTAGAGATTTTTCATTTATTTTTTTTGTTTTTCCCTTTCTATATTGGAGTTCACTCCAAATAGACTTTCTCTATTTGCTCTAGACCCACTCCATTTCATTGCCACGCCTACAGCAATGCCGGTTTTGCTAGAGGTACACAAAATGTGTACACATGTCTGTCGTTCACAAAATTTTGTCTGTCACAGACAATTCATTTTGAGTTGTCTGTGACAGACACAATTTCTATGAAGGACAGACATGTGTACACATTTTCCGTACCTCAAACATTTTTTCAGAGCAATGCACTCCATCATTGGAGTTGCTCTTAGGGGGCATAGGAAATGGTCGATATTTTATACAAATTACAAAGGATAAGTAATAGATGGCCTAGTACATACGTGTATATAGATGGCAAAGGCGATTAAATGTACAAATATTGCCTTCAATCCCAAGAAGAAAGTAATTGAAACACCGAAAATAATTTTATTTTCTGCATCGAAAATAAATCTAAATTGAATTAGTTTAAACAAAAATATATACTCCGAGTGTATTTGAATTTTGAACCCCAATTTTATTCATATTCTTTTATAGCTTCATTCACTTTGTGTATATAATACGGAGTACGAAGTAATAATTTTCTCCTTTTGTGGTGCTCGTTTTTTTTCAAAAATAATTTAGGCCGTTGAAGGAGTGGGACCCAAAGTGATGGTTGGCCTCAACAAAGGAAAACCTCAACGCTGGAGCTTTTGACGCAGTAGCAAAGTGGGCAATTCATACAAACGGCGTCGCATTGCACACACAGGCAAAGATGCCGACACGGCAACAGAACCACGGCGGCGACTCGCTTCTGACAAGCTCGGCAACTCGTTCCGGCAGACTCCTCGACTCTGTCCGGATCGATATAGGCCGACTCGGCGTCTTCCGCATCGCCGCCGGCGCACCCTTGCCCGCTCCCGTTGTTCCTCTCAGGCAGATGGGAGCCGCAGCCTGCTCTTCCTCCGCCGCCGCCGCCGTTCATGAGAGCGTGCTGCAGCTGCGCCTGAAGAGCCACCGCCGTGATCTCCTGCTCCCTCGCCCTGGCCTGCCACGCCTGCGCCTCCGCGCTCAGTTTCGCCGCCCTTGCTTCCAACTCCATATTCCGCCTCCGAGCCTTTTCCACATCCGCATCTTTCTCCTTCAGACGCCGTACCGCCGATTCCTCCGCCGCCCCCAGCAACGCTCGGTAGTATCTTTGCCTCTTCTCCTCCAATGTTCTCCGCAATTGCTCACCCTATTCAGAAATAAACCAAAATCAGAACCCTAAATCCTAATCTCAGTCCGTACAGAAGAAAAAAATAAATCAAGGCGCTTCACCTGAGCTCGGAGATAAAGTTCGATTTCATCTCGTTGTTGTTTGATGAGGTTACCTAAATCTTCTGCTAAGGCCGAGAAGAAAACCGGAGAATGTTGACGGTGTTGCAGTTGTTGTTGTTCGCCGAAAGCCAGACGGAGGCCGGTGGATACAACATTCGGCGGCGGCGGAGGCGGAGATGTGGGCAGCTCGGTGAGATCGACCACCGCCGGAAAACTGTAATCTCTTCCCCTCTTTCTCGAATTCGCATCAACAACTATAATCGCGCTCCAAATAATAAACACACATTTAGATTGTTTGATCAGAAGATTCAACAGAAGATATTTTTGGCAACACCAATAATCGCTATCTACTTTCCTTACCTCCATAATTGACCAGAATTTCAGTCTGATCGAGATATGCTCCCCCACCGGAACCGGCGCCGGTATTCATAACTGGGTTCCTCCCGCCGTCCTGGGCACCTCTGCCGGAGAAATCCGAATCAGATTTTTGTAAACAAAGAATAAAAGTAATCTATTGAATACAAACAGGGGAGGCCGGAGGGGGTACCTGGTCAAGAACAGGGGATATGAAGAGTATTGAGCTTGAACCGCCATTGGTATGAAACTATGAGCTATGAAGAACAGATAAAATGGTTTATATTTATAATGAAGAATTCTGATATTTGCAGATATATAAAAGGGAAGAAAAAAGAAAGGAAAGGAGGAAGGGGAGGAGATGGGGAGGTGAACAGAGAAAGGGGTGTGGTTGAATAATTAAGGCATACACAGAAACAGTATGAATGAGAAATGGAAGGGGGAGTTCTTGGCCAGTTTAGAGAGAGAGAAGAGAGAGAGAGGGATTGGCAGGGAGTGAATAATGAATGAATGGGTCTTCCTTCTTTTCTTATATGGGAAAACGGGAAAACAGAGGCTCCGCCATTATCAACAGCTCCACCATTTTCAATATCAGGCTGCTGCTCTGTTTTCTTTTGGCTTTTGGCGTATTAAAAAGAGGAAATGAAGCGTTTTTCTGCTTTTTCTTTCTCTGGTTGGCAGGCGGACTGCTGCTATTCAAACGCTTGGGAACCCACAGGAGATGATAATAAAGAGAGAAGCGTGCGATTGAAAGGAATGAGTCGAGAGGGAGAGAGAGTCTTCTGCGCCATCTTTCTTTCTTTCTTCCTTTGCTTCTGTTTCTCTTCTGCTTTTCCGTGGCTTCACGCTTTTCTTTATGGGAACAGCTCCGAGCCTCTCGTGTTTGTTTTGCCTATCAATTCCTCCCTTATTAATGACTCTTTCTTTTTTTGAGAGCACGACTCTTTCTTTTGAATGCTTTTCTTTTGAACCTCATTTGATTACATCATATCAGATGAAGTTAAGATAATTAATTTAGATAATAATAAAATGCATACAAGGTAGACTTTTATTCAACCAGATCATATTTATACAAATCGAACCGCACCATATCAGACCAAAAAATTTTAGTCTAATTGAAAAAACATCATTACTATTGGTGTAATATATAAGTGTAGACCCACGACAAATGTACTCACAACACAATCTGCTCTGGGCCAACATACGTAAGCAGCCATGCTCGGCCTAGACTCTCATCTATCCAATGGTATCCGCAAGAGACAACCCAAATAACTCCATCGAAGATCAATTAGAAATCAAGATCAAGAACATCATCCCATGTTCCCTCGGGTGAGAACCTCCCGCCCAGACCAACATTCACCAACCGGTTAAACAATATTTCTTGCAGACTTTTCCGTGTATATGCAAACAAGGATGACAATCATCCTTGGATGTGGTAACACACACCAATAGTCCATAGAATAGTAACACGTGTACGGTGCATTATATGAATCCTTTATTTACTACCACCATAAATTCCCCTACTTAAATAGTTGTAAAAGATTCGAAAATACTTTTCTAATTACTTCTCTATCTATTACTGAGTTGTGTCTTCTTTTTATATTACTAGCAATGGTTTTTGATATAGCTATCATTTGATGCTTTTGTTGAGATAAAGAGTAATCAATTTTGCACCTTATTCATTAAAGACTAACAGCCTTCAGACAAAATGGGATGCACTGGAAGCTCTAAGGAAGTCAATCTCACTCAGGCCCCTTAGTAATAGCATGAATACTCCATGCGACCTAGCAAAAAATGAACGCAATTCGTCTACATTGGAGAAGCCACCCATGTGCTTAATCATTCAGTAAAGCGGGTAAAAACAAATCTCAATTACTTTACCAAAAAGTACCTTCCCGAGGTGCCCATGTCATCATCAACCATAGCTATATGAATACCACGAGTTGAGTCAGTATCGTGTAACTCCGTGTTTCGAAGAATCTAGCCCTGGACCGAGCATCACTTTGACCTATCTGGACTTTGTCATCTCATTTCACAGGTGACTCTATTGACGTTGAAAACACAATACATCTCCTTATTGAATTGGGTACGTTTCCCCATGGAGCTGGATTGAAGATGGAGCTCATGGTCATCATCTTTGAGTTGCGTACAAACTTATCTTGAGCTAATAAGCAGTGCTCGAAGCTTTAGAAACCATCATATCCATGAAGCACTTGTGCCACAAATTCCTTATTGACACTTACATTGGGTACGCATAGGTCAATCACAGAGGATATACGAGTCATGCTATCTCAAGCTCACAAGGAAATTGGCCAAGGGAGAATTTCGAGCTAACACCATCCTCCTGACAATGGCCTAAGAGGAAGAACGACCAAGGGACAAATGAGTCAAAGACGTGGAAGGGGTCTTACTCGACACGACCATGCTCGAGAGGGTTCTAAAGATGGGAAGGCAACTCCAACCGGGATTGCAATAAGATATGTTCCTCATCCTCCGAGTGTATGCCATGATCTTTGCATGGGGACTCAAAGACATGTCGGGGATAAGCCATGATGTCATCACCCATCGTCTAGCAATAGACCCCAACTGTCATCAGACCCCCAATCAAATGGTAGAAAAGTTATCTCTCACAAGAAAGGTGATATTTCGTCAAGGTTGGGGTCACAATGCTCCTCAGCATCAACCACATCAAGAATGTCAAGTCTATAAGTCGTTAAAGAATGCGGCCCTAGCTCATAAGATATCGAGCTTCATAATTTTCATCAACTATATCGACTAACTGATGGACGAAACAACTGGATGCTAGCTTATGTTGTTCCTTGATGTTATGAGAGGATACCATCAAATATTCATGCACTAGAATGGTGTCGTGGCGAGAATACTTAGACAATGTTGATTCATGTGTTTCATGTCATCATTTGAACATAAGGACATTACCTTTGTTTAGACATTTTTAACTTTGTTTTACAATAACAGATAATTAATGGCGTGTACGATACTAATATAAATATTGGTGTGATTGAGATTAATTTGGTTTGGAAATTATTTTAATATTAGGGAGATACATTTATTTTGATCAACATTTTATTTTTTTGTGTTATATGATTTATGACATTTGAAGTTTACGAATCCAAAGTAAGTATTTAATTTTGGCTAAAGGGTCAAATAGGCCCTTGTACATGTTCGGAATGCTCAATTCACACCCGGAACTCGCCAAAAGTTCAAATCCCATTTTTTGCATATAAATTTTCGGTCATCGTTACGTCAGCCGGTTAGGTGCCAACTGTGCATCCCACGTGGAAATCTAAGGAGTCAAATAGACCCCTGAACCCGACAAAGTTGTTCAATTTACCCCCTCAACCGTTAAAAAGTGTCCAAATTGCTATTAAAAATATGAAATTAAAAAATAGAAAATAAAAATATAAAATGATATACAAGTTCGTAATATAAAATATAGATGTCTATTTATAATATAATAAGACGCTTTTTATATTTTAGGGTAAATTAAATATATATGTATACATATATAAACATAATGAAGGTACTTATTTTTAAATACATAATATAAAAATGTAGTAGTCTGTAGCTATTTACATATTATAATTTTTATATAGTATAAAATTTTTATGTAGCATATAATTAGTACGGAGTATGAAGTATAGTATGTAGTATATAATTCTAGAATAAAATAATACGAAGTATATATACATATATGCATGTGTGTGTTTGTAATTTTACATATAAATCTTAAACATATTAAAATATGAAAATAGTTTTAATGAACTTCTTTTAGTTTATTTTATTCGAATTTACTGTAAATATAAATATATCCTTATTTTTTGTGGTAAATTCACATAAAACAAAACAAAACAAATTCATTAAAAACATTTTGATAATTTAATTCCATTAAAAAAAATCAACCATACATTTTTTAAAAAATTAATATTAAATTTTGTATTTTGCGTATTATTTTTCCTATATTATATATATATATATTTAATTTACCCGAAAATATAAGAAATTTATTCTCATATTATAAATAGACATATATTTTATAATATGAACTTGTATATTATTTATACTTTTATTTTATATTTTTAATTTTTTATTTTTTAATGGCTATTTGGACACTTTTTAACAATTGAGGGGGTAAATTGAACAACTTTGTCGGGTTCAGGGGTCTATTTGACCCCTTAGATTTCCATGTGGGATGCACGGTTAGTATCTAACCGGCTGACGTGCCGATGACCGGAAATTCACCTGCAAAAAATCGGATTTGAACATTTTTTGTTGAATTCATGGGGTGAATTGGAGCTTTTTTGAGTTCAGAGTGCGAATTGAGCATTCCGAATAGGTACATGGGCCTATTTGACCCTTTAGCCTTTACTTTTTCTCTGAAGAAATATCGGACTACCTTGGAATCGTTGGAGCCCCTTAAGAAGTGATGAAGATTTAAGAATATACTTCTGAAACTTTAAAATAAACTCTTACTATGTACATTAGTTGTTATTACCTCCGTCTCACTCAACTTTGTCAAGTTGATGTTAGGTGCGAAATTAGAATAGTAAAAATTGTGTGGTTGAGATTTGTGCAGCGGAGAGAGAAATGAACAGAGCCACAAATTCATTGCTTTAAAAGGAAAGTGACAAAGTTTTTTGGGACAAACAAAAAAGGATGGCAAAGTCCAGTGGGCCGGAGGGAGTATTGTTTATTTCTTTATTATTATTATTATTAACTTTAAACTATTAGGCAAGTAGTACTTTGACAACAAGCTAAGTCAAGAACTAGTAATTATTTCCTACTTTTTTTTTTGTACTTCTTAGTTATAGTTTTAGAACTATATAGTATGATTCTAAATCATTCACACATGCACATACGGTATATATCAAGAAAATATTTGATTATTAGAAATTATGGTTGAGAGTCATAAAATAATTTGAGATTATTATAAAAATAAGTTACTACGTATGTGACAAGTAAGAATCACAAAAAAAGCTGACCGTAAGATATCAAGTAAGAACATTATTCTAAATTTGGGAAAAGATGCAAATAGACGCATGTACTAAGCAAAAAAGGTCAAATAAGTCCTTATTTAGGAAACTTTGTCCGACCGTCGTCATTTGGGGTGGTTCCCGGTGAAATTTTTTGAAGAATTTTTTTGAGCATATTATTCATCAAGTCTATTTTACTCATATCAAATTTCAGCTAAAACTTCAATCGGGAATGCATTCAAATGAATTCTTGAAGATAACTGCGCTTCTAACTGCGCAGTTATTTTCAAGAATTCATTTGAATACCTTCCCGATTGAAGTTTTAGCTAAAATTTGGTATGAGTAAACTAGACTTAATGAATAAGATGCTCAAAAAATTGCATCAAAAAATTCCAACGGGAACCACCCCAAATGGCGACGGCCGGACAGAGCCTCCTAAATAAAGGCTTATTTGACCTTTTTTGTTAGTACATGAGCCTATTTGCACCTTTCCTTTCTAAAATTTGGTTAGAACTTTTTGTCAAGCGCTTAGGCGGCCGTGACTAGATGGATCGTGGTCCAATTTATTTTCTCCTCTTTGTCATAAGAACATAGTTTAATCAATAATTAATCTATTGCTCTTAGCATGTATTTTTATATTCCTACAATAAAAATTAGTTTTAGAGACTAAAAAACACAAATTACTTATCTTAATACAAAAATATAAGATTTAATAATTATTTCAGTTATTCAATTATCAAAACATTATGAAGTCATTAATAAGTAATACGGAGTATTAAAATTCAGATCATATGAAATGAAATAAAAAATGAGAAAAAAAGAGGGATATCAAGAATCAAGATGACTGCCTAGGCGAGTTTGGCACTAGGCATCAACCCTTACCTGACTTATTGAGCGTGTTAAAATGTTTTTAAT